TGAAATAAATGTGGAAAAAGTAATAGATCTGGAAAACAGATCCAGCAGACTTTTCATATGAATGACAGGAGTGATAGAAAGATGAACATGAAGAAACATGAACAGATAGAAGTGAGGAATTTTTACTGACTGAAGAAAACCCTTCCTCTTCTGCATATCAGAGAAAAGAGTCCTTGCTTTGGGTGTCTTGACCAAAAAGCTGGCACAATGACATACTTCTCGAAATGTTAGATTGGCTGCTGGACGGCCACCTACCTGAGATCAGTAGCAGCTACAACTCTGCTAACCGAAGAGGCGATAAAAATAACTTTGGGACCAAAACCAAAATTCCTGACTCCCCACTAGGTCAGGGCTGTTCTTTAGACAAAAGCTCAGTTGTGGTTGACAGAGAAACAGCTGCCCAAGTACCAGACCATGCTTCTAGATCCCTGAGGGAGAAAGACTTGCCCTACTTTTTTTGTTGTTGTTATTATGGAGTTCAAACTCAGGCCCTTGTGCTTGCAAGGCAGGTGATGGAACCACTGAGCCAATCCCTGGCCCAAGACTTGCACTACTCTTAATCCTGCCTCACTGATGCCTGTAGGCTCAAAGGTTAGCCTGTCTTGTGAACAGGTGATTTTCCAGACCTATGCAAGAAGGCAGGACATCAGTGATGTGCCCAACACCTTAGAGGTGTAGATGAAGTAGATTTATTGAAGAACATCAGAAGGCAGGTTATGCAACTGTCCGTCCACAACAGGTTACTGAGGCCAAATCCCTATCCCCAGGGAATTCAGCTAAAAGGCAGCACTCATGGCCCTTACTCACACATTGATATTAGAGAAAGGCAAGTGGCCAACTATTTACACAGATCTCAAATATGTCTTCTTGATACTACATGTCCATGTACCAATCTGGAAAGAGGCTTCCTAGATAAAGAATCATCTAAAGCACAAGCAAGAAATTCCACTACTCTTGGAGGCAGTCTATCTTCCCAGGAAGGTTGCTGTCATTCATAGCAAGGGACACCAGAGATATATCAGAAGTCTCCTTTAGAAATCAAAAGACTGATAAGGCAGAAAAGGGTAGCCTTACACCCCATCAAGACCCTAGCCTTATTCCCATGTCCTGGGAAACCATTAAAACCAACCTATTCCCCCACCCCCGCTCCAAAGATAAATGGGCCTTAAGATGAGGAAATAAAAAGGGACTTTGGTGGTATTTGGGAGAAAAATTAGTCCTTCCTCAAAGGATACAATGAACAGCTATAAAAATCGTCATAATGAGCTGGGGATTTAACTCAGTGGTTCCGACGCCTGCCTCGCAAACGCAAGAACCCAAGTTTGATCCACGGTACCAGAGTCAGAAATTTACCTGTTCTGTCTCTGTGGTGTGCCCTGTTATGACTGTACCACTGTCATGAAAAATCATAGTAGCTAATTCTGAATATTATATACCCAGCATCGTTGTAAATATTTTTCATTTAACTTAATCCTAGGGGGAAAAAAAATCTAAGAGTTAGCACTACTTATTACAGAATGCTATTCTACAATTTCTGAGGTAGCTGTCCTGAGAAGCAAAACCACAGCAATCACTAAAGCACAGGACCTGATCAGTGACTGCCAGCTTCCCTGGTTCTTGCACCCTTCTAATTCAGGACCTACGAGAGAAAGCCCCAAACTAAAAGGCTGCTCTTCAAGAGAGGCTGACTCCAGCTTCCTCATGCCAACAGAGTTCAATCAGAGCAAACCTCAAGCCTTCCTTTGTTCACTACTGTCAACGAAAAACTGCGCAGGGCAGTTAAATAAAGGAAGTCATATTCAAGACTATTCATAAGGGAAATTCAACTCTTCTGAAACAAATGGTGAGAGCTTTTAAGCAATGTGGTATGACTAGTGAAAAGTACTAAAGGATGTTAGGGGGAGCAGGTTGGACAATGTGATTAGACCACCTGCTTTGCTAACTGACACAGATTTGGGCTTCTACTCTACTCTGTCACAGACACTGGGAATTTGGGGCCTATTCTTTGTCATGATGCCACTTCAGAGGGACAGATAGATGTCCTTAAGGCATTCCTGAGCTAAAAAATTGGCACAAAGCTGGGTGAGGGAAGATCTACATTTCAAAGGGCCAGAGGAAATTACATGGGAAAGTTTACTAAAGCTGTAAGGGAAGGGAGGTCAGAGACGTCCAGTAAGGAGGAAGCCCATTTGGAGCTTAGTCAAGCAGAGAGAATGTAAAGCTTTTCTACTTCACACTTGTCTTGCTTTCCTGCTGAGTGGTGATACTGGCTGACTCCATGCTCTGAACACCCAGACTCTGCTCTATTTTTTGTGAAGTTACAGTCTCCTTGTACTCTGATCCCATTCCTTTGAAATAAGGTTATAGCCTAGGATAGCCTCAGACTTGCTGTGTATCCCAGCCAGGCCTCTAACTCTCTGTCCTCTTGCCTCAGACTCCAGAGTGCTGAGGTTTTACCACAACACCTGGCTCTCGTTCTGTTTTAAACTTAGAAATCTGTGTGACTTTAAATGTATTTCTTTGCTTTGAACATAACCAAGTCTTATGTTTTATTGGTAACTGAGGGCTGAAGCATGCCTAAGAACTGATCCTAACTCCTTACTCTCTCCAGAGTAATCTGGACTGCTTCCTTTCTTATCTTTATCTACAAAAGCAGTCACAAAGCCTTGTCCTCCCTAATTACACAGCAAAGTACTGATCCACAGCTACAGAGCTATAAGGCTGCTCAAGACTGACAGCCCTTTGTTTTCTTACCTGATCCAGGTGGTTCAAATTTAGGCTCCACCTTTCCCCACCCCCCCACAAATCATCAGCAGTGGCTGACTAGCCCTGACTCAGCCTGTAAAGTCCCTGCGATTGTGTGGTCTTTAATGACTTCAGGCCCTTCCTCCCCTAAGGAACTTTTGAGAACATATTAATTTACATTCTTAGATAATTAGATAACTACACCCATGAAACACTGTACTTTAAACTCCAACATCAATCGATCGTTCATTAGGGAAAAACTGTAGAATAAAGTCCTTTAAAAAGATGCAATGCTTCTTAAAGATCTTTTTTTTTTTTTTGCCAATTTACAAATACCTATGTCATATTTCACCATTCTGCAATCTCAACTTTTCCCATAATTCTACATATGATTAGTGTCCTGACATTGTTACCATTTGACAGGGAATAGAGAAAAATAGTTTTCATAAGTGACCAAGTAAGATACTGAACTAAATATAGGGGACAGGTGGATGGGTTGTCAGACAATGAAAATCACCCTGGGATCTTTTCAAAACATAAATTCTAGGGGCTGGGGATTTAGCTCAGTGGTGCCACCACCTACCTGGCAAGCACAAGGACCAGAGTTTGATCCCCAGCGCCATAGTGTGGGGAGCCTGAGATCTTAAATTTCTAAAAATCTTCTTAGAGATGGCCACTGTTGCTGGATCACAAACCACAATTCTGTGTAATGGTAATTTACATACAGGAAAAGACAATGCTCAGAAATTAAAGCAGTGATATTTGCACTGTTTTTGTATAATCTATACTTAGAATATGTAAGTATATGTGCATGTAAAAAATAAAAATAGAATAAAAATCACACTGAAAACTTACAAAACATTAACAGATTTGGGATCGAGAGCTTCTGTGTACTTTTACCCTGCTTTTCTTTTTCCTAGCAAATTAATATTCCCTCAAAATTTTCTGCATAAGTAAACATTTTCTTTTACTAGAAAGCCTTTGCCATGCACAGTGGCACATGCCTGTAATCTCAGCTACTCCAGTCTAGGCAACTAACCAGACCTTGTTTCAAAACGAAATTTAAAAAAAAAAAAAAAAAAAGCCTTTTCCTTCTTTTTCTCCTTTTTATGACATAAACAGCCACATTAAGTATTAACATCGAGTGGTTATATGCAAAAAGAGTAACAGCAGCAAGTCAAATGTAATGAATATCGAAGGTGAATACAGTTGTTGATAAAGGGTTTTAAGAGGTGGACACTTCCAAATCCACATAGGGTTATGTGCTATGACCTCTGACTGACAGTCATTAAGTGACCAGGTGGCTTCTGGAAGGTCTTGACGTCATTTATCCACCTAATACATTTTTTAGATGCCCTTCTCTTTCCAGGAGGTAGAAGAGAGATCAAAGAGCCAAGACCCAGCCATTCTCACAGAGTTCTTAGTACCAAGCACAAGTTTCACTTTCCGATGCACTCCTGGGACACAAGAAGTTTCCTCAGGCTCCACAGGATGACAGGGTCCAGAATCAGGGAAACCTGTAAAGCAAATTCAACAGCCTTTCAACGTACTACTTTTTGTTTACAGACAGACATTTGTTTTAAAGGAAATCTATAAACATTTTGTGGGCAGTTAATAGGGAGGTTGGGCCAGTGCTTAAAATTTTTTACTTAAAGGAGATAAAACTAACTCAAACATATTTGAATTAAAGAAATATTAACTTGAAAAAAAGACATTTTGACAGGAAGTAAAAAGAAAAACACTTCTGCCTATTCTGCTTTTCTAATATGACAGGGCATTAGATTTAAAACCTCAGAGGGAAAGCAAACTAACTTGACAGGTCCTAAAGAATGTATCCAAAGTTCTTACCTTCCAAAAGCAAGGCAGTCTGTGAAAACTTTCACCTTAGTCCTCTGAGCCTTAGTTCTGAATCCAAAAGCTGAACTCCAGAGATGGCCTCTTGAGAGAAGGTGCTACAGTGTTTTTATGATGAAAGTTGATACCATTTTTGGTCATTGTGAGAGAAGATTTTCTTGTCTATATTCAGTAAGAAAATATATAAACCAAATTAACAGCTCAGGTATATTTATCTGCCAAGAAAGTTAATCTTACAGAGTTGCTGGAGAAGCTTCACCGTAAGGGCCAGTGATGCTGGGTGTTAGTGGCCAACACCTATCTATAATTGAGCACTCTGGGAAGCTGAGGCAGGAGGGTTACATGCTCCAGCCCAGCCTGGGGAATTTAGCAAGTTGTGAAGATCCTATTTCAAAATACAAAAGAAAAGGTCTGGGGACTGGGTTCAATCCCCAGTACTGGGGGGTGGGGTGGGGGAGAAGAAATTAAGAGAGGAAGCAAAAATTGGGTGGCGGAAGTGGTATTCCTTTTTCTACCAAGCAGATTAGAACATAGGTAACTCCTGTGCTGAATTCCTAAGTGAGGGTCTCAAGAAGGTTACCAGTGCTAGTGGTAACTCTCATCAAGAGGCCTTGCAGGATTCAGGGGCATCAGCGCCCATCTCCCATTTTTCACAAATGTAGGTTAGAAAACCCATAATATCCTAAGTCATCTTTAAACCTCCAAAGGCCATCCACAAACGTTTGGGAGATGACCACACTGTGTACTTAGCAAGCATACGAAATTACTACTGAATGACCTTCACTTTTAGGCTAAAGCTGGCTCATCTGTTAAGACAGGGACCTATCTACCTTACCTGCTTCTCAGGAGGCAAGGGCAAATGATCTTTTGAAGGCATTTTAGGATCTAATTTAAAATAGGGGCACATGGGAGGGCCGGAGGCAGGAAGTACTGTTCAACTCCGTACTCCTCAAAAGCCACAGTCCCGTTCCTTTTGCTAACTGTCCCTCACTGGTGGCCAGACCGGTGGAGTAGCTCACCCCTAGAGGGCGTTTTGTTCCTCAGAGTGCCAAACTAGGCCAGATACTCAAGAGTTGATAAAAGACTGTGTTTAATAACAAAGGGAATCAATAATAAAAACAAGTTGTTTCAATAGCACCAGATTAAACACCAGGTGAGATGTATTGTCAATCTATTCTTGATCACAAATCTTATTAGTAACTATAAACAAGAATAGGGCACATAGCGGCTGGGAATTTAGCTCAGTGGTTCTGCCACCTGCCTCGCAAGCCCAAGGACCCGAGTTTGATCCCCAATACCAAAAAAAAAAAAAAAGAATAGGGCATGTAGCTATTTTATGGCAGATTATATACAGTATTTCTACTTGTACATAAGATTTACGTACATTATTTTTAACATTGAAATAATTAAAAATACCAGATTAAAAGAATTTTTCCTGGACTTAGATCTTGCTTGAGGCATTTGACATTAAATGGCATTTTCAAAGCTCAAGTCTTCTCTTTCCCTCTTTCCCTCTTTCCCTAGTTCCTCTTTTTCTGAACACTGAAATATGGGGTTGGGAGGATAGAAACTCTTCGGAAGTGACAAGAAAAATTTTATTTGACTTGTTGCTTCGTTTTGTGTTTTATTTCTTTTCTCCGTTGCTTTTTATGTTCTTTTTAAGCCTTTAAAACAAGCCTCTTTTCCACGCCACCCACTCCGTGCACTTTCCAAAGCCAGCCCTCAAACATCACTTCCGCCTTAAATCCTAAAAGGGGGAGGGACAGAAAAGAGATCAATAAGAGTTATATCAAAATGAGGATCAACATCCAACGGTCTTTCTTACTGCAAAACTTACGCATTTTGCCATTTTGAAAACACCTTTCCCCTTCATTTCCTTAATGACTCAGGTCCCCAAACCGTCACGGTACTTAAGCCACAGGTAGAGTCAGCTGCTTACAATTTCGGCCGTCCTGCACGCCAGCCCCTCCTAAGGGGCTCCCCGGGCTGTCAGCTGTAGCTCGGGGTTCCCCGAAGAGCATTTTCCTCTAAGGATTCTCGCTTATTCACCAGGCGGGAACATTTCTGGGGCTTCTCCGCTGTGACGCGGTCTTTGGAGGCGGAAGAAACGATCCTCGGCGCGGGTGCCCGCTTCTCCCCGAGCAGGGAGAACCGGGTTCTGCAGGGGCCCCGGGGACCACAGGCCGTCTCACTCCTGGCTGGTGCGGAAAGTGACCGCGGTCACCGAGCGCTCCTCGGTCCTCCGGGTCACGCTCCCCTGCCCCCACGCCGTCCACAGCACCTCCTGCGTCACCTGGGAGTCCACGACCCGCACGAGCACCGGCCT